GCATCCACTGATGTTTTAATGTGGAGTTGATCTGAATTTTTTTCAGTCTCAATCAACTAATACATTGGTCATTTCTTTTAGTTTGTTTGTCTTTGTTTCATAATTAAGTACAATCTGTTTTTGCTTTTATGCCGCAGCTGTCTTTTTTACCTGTGAAAGTCAGTATTTTTCTCATTCAGTGGTAAAGATATATATTTTTCTGTTATATACAAATGATCACATAAAAGCTGTTTTTTTCAGTGGTATGCCTGTAATAAGAAGGATACAACACCATCTTACTATTAAATTCCCGTCACATATTTTCTCAAGATGAATCACAATTCTCTCTGGAAAAGCTGTGTTTCTGTATAAAACATCAGTAAATCAAAACCAAGTCATTTCTAAATAGTTGAAACTTTTTAGAAAATGAGAAGAAAATTATTTTCATATCACATATTTAGAGTGGGTAATCTATGTATATTTTTTCTGCATGCTCATTTTTTATTCTAATTCTATATTTAAAAAAACTGACTTTTACCATATTATTGCATCATCTCTTCTTTCAACAGAATATTTTGAGACACAAAAGAACACTTGATGTACTCAGACTGATCTATCGGTTCTTGCAACATGTTGGAATTCAGATGCGCAAATTCTGTGCTACCTTTGTGGGTACTTTCTGTTTGATGTACCAAATGTTTTCAATGAACAAGTCTGCAGGAAAGCCAGTGTCTCACAGCAAGGCTATGTAGTTGAATTGAGAATTTGGCATTGTCTTGCTGAACTAAAGAGAAACCTTTGCCTGGACAGTTGTCATCTGGATGGCGTGGCATTTGGCTCCTAAATTATTTTTTGCACTGAGATTTTTTTTCGTTTTTGTTTTTTTTCCCCCATATGCATGAACAATAATGATGTTGCATCTTATCACAGATGTCAGGATAAATACATTTGATATGTTTGAACTGGGGGGTTAAATCCCCATGCCATCATTTCTCTATGCAGAGGTATTCTGGGAATCCTAGCAGCTCTTCTGCCATCTTTAAACACATTTGCGTGGGAGCTTGAGAAAAGGTGAATACAATCTATCTTAGCTTTTTTAGATGAAGTATAAGATATACAAGTCAGAATGGCGTTGGAATTCACCTACAGTTTTCTTTTAAAAAAGCTTATCTGAAAAAGATCTATGTATCCTCTTACAAAACACTATACAATACATTACTATAGTCAGTGTTTCTTTATTTTTTTTGTCTTTGTTCCATCAGTTCAATCCATTAGCTCATATCTCAGATATGTAATAGATTCTGAAGCCCTGACCATTGGTTTGTGGTGGTTACACCTTCAGTTATTGGTGGATAACATACTATCTAATCTCTGTTATACAATGGGTACAGAGCCTGGTACTCATGTAGTATCATGCACTCGTGCCTGCTTCTCTTTGAAACTCACACACACCCCCTTACACCAAAACACAGCTTCTTCCCTGCATGCTTACTCAAGTGAACCTGTCATCCTCTCTTTGGTTCTTTAATGCCATTCACTTCAAGGGAGCTAGTAGAGGACAGGACATGTTATTGGAAATCAAAGGGGATTTGGAGTCCAGGCTGTCATCCTGCAGGGGGAAAATACCCAGTATAGGTCAACTTGTAAGAAAAAGACTATGGGATTGGGTTGATTTTGAGAAATCCTTGTTTTTTGTTACTGCCACTGCTACTTCAGTTATCTGATTATCATTTTTTCTTTTTTTTGTTGTTTTGTAAATAACTAATGGCACACCGATTTATTCTACACCATTCATATAAATTTCGGGTTAATATTTATACTGTTATGAAGTTTTGGATGTAGTGTGAAATTACCAAACAATGTGTTCTTAATGCTTCAAAATAATTTACCTCTTTGGGATTCCTTAATTGTATTTCAGTTCAAAATCTTTTCATTGGAGCAGATCAGCTTTTGTAGGTTCAACCCTTGATTATAATTACTGGTGGCATGCTTTTTTGTATGTAATTTCTAAACCATATGATTTCATAGTAAGAAAAAGAAGTATGTACTTTTTCTGGTCCTTTATTCTGACATTTAAATTCAATTAGCAGGCATTTTCTTCAAGAGCAAAAACAAGTAGAATATCTGATCAAATTTACAGTCAGTCTTTGTGGAATAACTTAATTTTAAAAGACAGGCTCATGGGTTTAAGGGTGGGTGCAATAGATTTAGTTCAAGTACAGACTGGGACTTGAATATTCAAAGAAAATGTGATCAAATGCTCTGTGCTTTTTCTAATGATGAAATAAATTCTGAAGCTAGTTTAAATGGATGCGGCTGCCTGATCTAACTCGTGTCAAATAGTGTTAAATTGCTGCTTTTGAACTTGTTTACTTGAACCAGATCAGATTTCTTTCAGATATTCAGTTGTGATTTTAACTGAGGTCTTTGGCTAAAGTTAACTGTTAAACAACCAGAACCATAGCAAATAAAAGGGCTCAGACAACACTTTTTTCATTGTTTTGTTTAGATACTTTATCCAAGGATCCAATGAAATAGTATTTTTTTCCTTGAACTCTGAATGTTTTTTCAGTTTGTCGTTTATTATCCTTCACATCATACCCCCTTGAACACAGGATATGAGGGCAGCATTTGGTACTTTTACAGTTGAGATTTAAAAATAGTTTTAGGCGGATAAATGAATGATGAACTAATCATGTATGAATTTTACGACCTGTCATGAGATTTTATTGCCTCCCCATACACTGCTGTTAATTGTGACCAAATATTTCAGCCATTGTTCCATCAAACAAACATAAACGCTATTCATAATCTGAGAATCATGCAAATGCGTGACATTTAGGTAGGTATCATTTTTTTGGTGCTTTTTTTTACAAAACATCTGTAATTTAAAAAAAAAATTGCCTGTCTAACTATGAGGTCCAAACTCCCAAACTACTTGGTTTAATTTGGTGGCCAAATAAATCAATCTAATTTGCATGTGGTTCTTCCTTTGGCTGCCCATATGTCAGTCAAGACACACGATTTTTGTAATACAATAAAATCTGCAAAACTTGAAATTTCCTCCACACATATTACCAAACAGATTGTCTGCTTTATACCTATAGTCAAGTATCTTGTAGTCGTAATGAACATCTAAAATATATTTCTGTCAGCAGGACTATATGATGTAAAAGCAGAAACTACAGCAAAACCCTCAGAGCTCCTTCAAATGATGAATCTTAGTTGTAAATCAAAACCTATGACTTACAAATGCTGTGTAGAGCAGTTGATCTAAGTTGTGTGCAAAGGCAGGACTTTGGGGAAATCATAAACTTCATTAAAGTTTCATATTGTATTTCTGTATATGTGCAGTTTCATCCTGTGTCTCAATTTACTCGTGGGCAAAATCTGAGACTCGCCATGCTAGTCTGTGTTATCTCTCTATATTCACCTATACTTATACATACATGTATGTATATATGTATAAATATGGTATATGAGAGATGGACATTTGTACGATCCGCAATTAATATGAGAGGAAAAAAATTTCTGTTGTAAATGTTAACGTATTAAGTCACATCTCTGCACACATATTACTCTTGTAGATTATTTAATGTATGAATGTTGAACTGAAAAAGCATTTGTTGACACAAGTCTTTACATGCAGTTTTTCTTTTTTACCTAACATTTGTCACTTTTATTTCCCATGACACACAAACAAACATTCTACAGGGAGTAACTTTAAAGTATGCATGATAGATTTATTACAATTTATGACGTAGTATGGATTCCCATGAGCCTAAAGGTTTCTTTTCATCTAGAAAAAACAAACAATGTATGCACTGATTGGTTATTTGGAATGACTTGCTAAAAGTACCTGTGTGTTACTGCCACAGTCTGCTCTGGAGCTCTAACCTCTAATCCACGAAAGGGCTTCTTGGAAATGTATATGATTCACTGATGCATTGATGTTGTTCCAGATGTGGGTGAGTGCGTGTGCATGAATATCTATGTGCCTGTGTGTTTGTGTGAGAAACTCCCGCAAGTGACAGCAGTGCCCTTTTAGCCATCATTCTTGAAAACCATGCATGCCTGTCTTGAGAAGTCTTCCAAAAACACAAATATCCCTTTGCCTTTATCCCTCACACTAGACCTGCTCCACTAAAATGGAAAACTTACACAGTGCCATCTTGGAAGGTATGTAGCACACACATTTCTGACACAAAGAAATAAATAAAGGACAGGAGGAGGAGGTAAAGGTGGGGTAAAAAGAATAGACTTAGCTAGAATAGAAAAAAAGGATATAATGTCACCCATATTGATGCTGGAAATTGTTTTCTTGATATTTTCGGTCCGAAAAAGTCTAATTCAATGGCGATTCAAAGAATCAGGATTAGTCTTTCACTCACACACACACACAACCCTGTACCCTGTCAAAGATGGAGGCAAAAAGGTGGGAAGGATAGACGGAGAGATGGTGATGTGGAGTGAAAGTGGCAATGAGATTTGGGGAGATGGCAGAAGCCAGGGGAGAGCAGTCTCCCTGCTTGTGACAGCAGCTGAAATCCTAAGGAGGAAGGAGATGACACTCCCATGAAAGAAATCCACAGGAAAAAACAAGAGGGGAGAAGGTGGTAGATAGAAACGACTGTAAAATGCATTAAAGTGCAGCCTGCAGGAGATTCAGACTAAGTGTACTAAATACTAAATCAGGTTTGCACTTGTTTGAAAAAATACATTTTTGTACAATTTTAGTTTGTGAGGGTGGATCATTTTTATTGGTCTTAGCAGTTGTTTAGCTACACGTTTTTATTCTAGCCATGCATAATAATGCATAATATGTCCACAGCTTACACAGATTGTCATTAAAATACAAACAATTCAATTTACTGGTACAAACTATCCAAAGGACTTTTTTTTATTCGAGGTGCCAACGTTTTTTAAAAAGCTTGTGGATGTAACATTCAGTGTTCCCTGAGAGAAATATCAAAGTCTTCATTTTTCAGTGTTATTTGATTGTGTTTGTTTTTTTAACAGACCTTGACACACCGGTTCTGACCGTCCACCAGACCATCAGTGATGTGCGAGGCTCTTACTATCAGGAGAAGACAGTGTTTCTGCGCTGCACAGTCAACTCCAACCCTCCGGCGCGATTCATCTGGAAGCGGGGGAATATGCTCATCGAACAGAGCAAGGATAATGGAGTGGACATCTACGAGCCCCTTTACACTCAGGTGTGCAGGCACTCCCTCCTGTGGGCCCGACCCAACATGCTGCCGCTGAACTATACCCCGAATCCTCTGTTCTCCAGTTTGATCCTTGGCTTTAACAAATATTCAACTATGCTTTTTGTCGAGCTTTCTGTCTCAGCAATTGGGGTTAACATAAACGATTTCGGAGCCCGATGGTTGTTACTACGGCACTCCAGATGCTTTGAAATGGAACTGACCCTTCACTAACCTTTCCCTGCCTTCAACAGCAGTTGTACATCCAATACATTGGACTGTGCCAGAATAAGTCAGTCGAGCTGTAGATTTTCTTTACTCTCTGAACCAAAATATTCAGTTTCTTTTTTTTGTTCTTGTTTTACTGGAACCATATTAACTTGCACGGCAGAGCCAGTTCATGGGTGTTATGATGCAGTTATTGGTAAATTAAGCCATATGCTCAAAAGTGTCATTGATGTGTTGGAGTCCACACAGCACTGAAGTTAATCCTGTGTTCTATATCAGCAATAATAACTCAATCCATTCATTTTGACTCAACTTGGTTTCATTAATGCTGTGGCGAACTACAACAAATACAGTCGTACTCTAAGCATTCCTAAAAATGATGTCAACAAATATGCACTCGTATGCATTAAGTGATCTCTTAGATGCCTAGACCTGATCATGCACAAAAGTGACAGTGAAAAAATGAAACTCCCTTTCAAGGGATGGAAACTTCCAGCAGAACCAGATTCAGGATACGTGGCAATATGCCTCGACCTGCTAGTTTGATAGAGCAGCACCGTGCACTGTGCTTCTCCACCACAGGGATGCCAACAGAGAATCAAAAACACGAGTTAATTACTACTGTAATGACATTTGTAAATGGGGAACTGAGGAGGAAAGGGGCATTATTGGAGGTCTCCCAGCAGTCTAGTCCTTCAGCAGCGTAACAGTGGGTTGCTTCTGGATCACCGGAGCCACCCCTTACTACAAGCTTACTCAAAAGGATGCTTTTGAACTAATCTTAAAAGTAGAAAGGGTGTCCTGCTCTTTATTGGATTTGTATGAAGCTTATCCTTCAGCACTCCAGGAGCGACTCATCACACCGGATAATGTTACTCTTGTGAAACTCATTAGTCCTAATCCCCTAACTTTTGCACTCACAGTGTAAAAAGTTAATTAGATAGTTATTTGAATTAGTTTGCCTGCCATACGTTTTTATACTATATATTATTTTATATTACATTCATTCATACTCTCGTGTCCTGTTTGTGAACACGTTACAAAGGAACCGAGTGAATTGATCTCCAGGCTAAGCAGACAAGGGCTGCATTCGACCAGCTGTTCGCTTTTCCTCCACTCATCAAAGATTCAGTCAACCACTACGCAGAACCCCTGGAGTTCAATTAACCAGTCAGCAGAGTCCTTCCCTGGGCTGCTGAAGACACTTTATCTGATTGCCTTCTCTGGCAGACAAAATGCCTTGATCTGAAAAATCATCAGCAATGTTGAAAAAGATACGCAAAGGCTTTTTTTTAGTCCAGGTGAGTGTGAGTCTACAGAGGAGTCACACAAGCAGCTGTTGAGACGGTTAAGAACCAGATCATTTTAATCTAACTGATGGTCTCATGCCAACTGATTGATGGTGTACCATGGTGTGTGTTTACTGACCAAAATCTCTTTAGAATTTAAAATGACTACAGACACAAGTGTTAACTTCAAGGCTTTAAATTTATTCATCAAACTGTTTTGAGATAAATTGCAGTAATGATTACAAGTTAAACTTTTTTTTTTTACAGTGCAAGTATATTCTTCTCGTCCCATATAGGGTGAGACTAAGGTGCTGAAGTTGAAAAACCTAAGACCCAAGGACTTTGCTGACTACACCTGCCAGGTGTCTGTCCGGAATGTGTGTAACATTGAAGACAAGTCGGTCACCTTCAGGCTTACAAATGCTACAGGTAAGTTCCCACCTTTGTATTTTATTTTGTCTTCACATAAAAGATTTTTTCCAGGAGTGCCACAGCCGACCAACTGCATTTGCTTTCACATTTCGCATTTTCTTTATTCTTTTGCTCCCACTCTAAATGTTCTGATGGCCCCATATGGTAGCACTCTTCCCTGCATGCTGAGGAATGTCTTGCACTTGTCTCCCTCTCTTAATGTTAACCTGTTTTTCACCTTCACGTAAGCAGAAAATAGCAGCCTTCTTTTATGCTTTCATTTCCACACTTTCTTCAATGTTTTCCTCCCTCTGCCTTCTTTTCTTCCAATGCATTTTACTCTGCTGGCTTTTGACTCTGCTAAAATGTGATATCGGTGTCTCTATCTTCTTGCCTGCCTCCCTCCGTGCCATGTTGTCTGCTTGTCTAGTTTTTCTGTTGCTGAGAGCTCATCTCTGTGCCGTCAGCTGTAATTCAGTTGTCACGCTCCCTGTTATCTCCAATTCTCTCTGCACCGCTCTGTCCATCTAAACGCCACCGCCCAGCGACTCTGTTACTTACAACAACATTGTTGCCGTTGACAACCCTGTCAGGTTTGTTACGGTCAGACTGATATTCCACAGGGGATAATGCTTGTGCAGTGTATTTAAAAACCTTGTTCTGCTGTGTATAACTCCCCCCTCTATTTCCCTTTTCCAACTATGTTTTCTGAATACCGGTCAATCAATCAAAGTTTACATTGGAATGCCATGAAAAACAGAGCACACCTTCCAATTCCCATATTTAGACAAATCGTTAAAAAAAAAAATCTTAACCATGTTTTGAAATTTACGTCTGATGAACAATGATACATTTCTCACTCAGTAAGTTATTTATTTCACAATAACTAAGTAAATGATACTGTGAAAAAAAGGCAGCAACTCCAGAAGCATTAACTTGAGGAATTGTCAACAAGATGTTATCAGTCTCTCACTTGGCTGTGAGGGATCTCTGTTCTATTCTTCTTTACAATGTTGCTTCAGATCTTAGTGCTTTGTTGGTATTCATTTATGCCCTGCTTTCTTTATGTCCTGCTTACGTCTCAGTGAAGTGGCTCATTGCACTTTCACCGGGTCATTGCATCACTTTGATTAATTTTTGTTATTTGTTGTATATTCGCTAACTGCAAGGTGCACAGATTCAGTGGCTTCCAAACAAGCCACGAATCATCAGTCATCCATCACCATACTTAACAGTTTATATGAGGTGGCTTTTCTTTTCTTTTTGTTTGTCAAAATTAGCGATGTGATTTTGATGAAACATTTCAACTTTGGCATTATCCGTGCAATGAAAATAGCTCTCGAAGTATTGTGACATGTTCAGATGCATTTTTTTATCATCCATAGAGAATAGGTTTATGCTGGTGACCCTTGCAAACAAGTTATGTAGTCCTTTATGTAGTCCTTTCTTAGATGGAGACATGGAAAATCGTAGATGTAGCTCTTGTGGTTTTGGGAAATTCTTCCAATAGTTGTGGTTCCTGAACTCTTTGAAAGATTAGCAGCTGTCTTGAATATTTTCCACTTACAACCAGTCTTTCTTGCTGTAGAATTATGAAATAAGAATGATTTTCAATCTGTCTTTTAATCCTTTTTCACACATTGTTTCCACATTGCCATTATCTAGTTCGATGTCGCACATCTGGAGTGGTTTTAGCCACCTATGACCCACCTTTACTTAGCCTTTCAGTGATATCTTGAAAGAGGGTGTAACACTGAAAGACAACAAATTATTTTATAGTAATATTTTATCTACTCCATTAACGAACATGTTTAGTCATTTGAATATTGTCATTTGAGTCCTTTACACATTACTCAGGCTCTAAAACAAGTACAGATGGTGTTAGCCTCCTGCTTAATAGGGATGTGAAAATAAAAGGACTGTTCAGAGCATTTAGTCATAATTCTGTTTTTCTCAAGGTGAGAGGCTTGCATAAGTAAGCACGGCAATTGGGGAAAGCTGAAAAATTCTGTAACTGAGAACAGGCGGGTGCCTATAAAGGTAGTCATATGTGCAAAATGTAGTTTCTTTAAATCAAGAAACTTGTGAAAATAAAACATTTATATACCCTTTCAGCAATAGTTTGACATTTTCTGTAATGCACTCTATCGCACGCTTTTTGTTTGTTTGTTTGTTTAGCAGAAGCAGCAGTTGCAACAATCCTGTCATGATTTTGATCAAAGCTAAGACATCCTGCCAACTACTGCCTCTAAGGCTTTGTAGTCTAAGCATGTAACTCATTAATTGTGTCGATGGAAAAAGTGAACCATTTAAACAGCCTGTCTTTTCATTTCCTTGAGATTTCCAGAAAGCAAGTTGACACTCAAAAACCTTGCTCATTGTAACCAATATATCGTTTGGCTAAACACAGCTTACCATGCGCTCAAGATAGGTCAACCTTCAGGTATGAAGTATCATTTTTATTTTCTTGATAATTGGCATATGTGACCCTGACTTTAGTAAAAAAAAAAATGTGCTAAGGTATTTTGAACTGATGTGAAAGTTATCCATTGAAAAATATGACCTTGAAGAGATAAGCCACAATGCTTCCTAAGAGTTAAAGTGCCTTAAGGTTGGAAAGAATAACCAACATAATACAAATCTTAAAAAAGCTTCAAGAGGAGAAGGAACAGACACGTAAATAAACAAAATCCTTTGAACAGAATGATCTGGAACCAAAAGCCTGAGAAAAAACTGAAATTCAGGGTTGGTGAAAATGGAAAATGGTCAAGAAAACAGTTTGGTCCTAATTCAATGATCTTAAGTTAGAAAACGACAAACAGCAAAGGCATTAACGCAAACATTACAATGGATAATAAACTGAATTAGATTTACTATGATAACAAAGTTAACAAAACAGAATGGTTGCTAAAACACAGTGAGGTGGGAAAAACGCAGTCTAACCAGCCCCTTAAGGTTTCTGCTGTGTGCAATAAGTTTTGTTTACTCTTGGTGCCATTGCCTTCCTCTCTTGTTCTCCTGGCCTCCTGTGTCTGAGATCAATTGTATTCCAACAGTGCAGTTAACTCTTTCACAATGACACAAGTAAATACACACTGAGCACAACAACAACGTCTGCCTGGCATCAGGACTCAGACGTGCCAAAACAGTCAATCTATCTGGACCTCACAGAGTGACGGAAAGTAGACTGCTCACTGTCTCTGTGCGCATGTCTGACAGCAAAAGAGGCACAGATCAGGTGAAAAAGAAAAGAATGGGAGTGTCATTGAGTGCAAGTGTGCTGTTTCCTCCACTACCTAACCCGGTGCAAAGACCACAGGTACAGAACTGATTGGATTGCTGGATTGAAGAATGGAAGTTAATCTTCCGATAGCTAAATATACTCATAATGAAGTTATGAGCACTTTGCATGGATGAAATGAGTTGAACACGTGTGTAGGTGCAAAATTACAAAAACATTATTTTGTGTAACTGATTTAAATTCAAATGGAAGCCATATATCTTAAACTGGATCATCTTTAGTAATAGACAGAAATACATTGTGTTTAATTCTTTTTACTCCCTCTTTCTCTTTCCCTTTCAGTGAGTTTTAGCTCACATTAACTTATTGATATATAGTCTAATAGATTACAACGGGCTCTCAGACATTCAGGCTCATAAGCACGGTTAATATTGTTGACTTTGGCCACAACTATCTCACTGATAATGTCAAATTATAAGGCAAGATGTATAATCTACACAAATTCCATCACTAAAGTGACCCATCCAAAATACATTGAAACCACGAAATCAACAGGAGAAACATTGAATGGATATTTAAAAAAAAGATAAAAGACACGAAACGGACAAATAAAAGCAGCCAAATATGGGAAGAGAAACAGATCGCCTTAGATAAAGAGACAGAGATTATGAAAGAGGAAACCAAGCATTTGCTCTATTTTCCCCCTTTAAAATATTTTTCTAATGAGCACAATTTGTTATTCCCCTCTGAGTTCCCTGTTTGTCCTGGTGGCAGCAGTCACTGCTTAGATAAGGTTCATTAAATGAGGTCATTCACGTCTGATTCACCGCACTTAGGCAACCGGATTTATTGATTTCACATCATAATCCCAGCCTGAGGTTTGAATATGGGAATTCTGCCCTCCTGCAACAGCTCCTAGTGACCAAATCCTCTTTCCTTGAGTCTCATGAAAAGGAGACGAGGGCAATGCTTCTCACCTTGTTCGATGTGGAAATGTAGAAGTATATAGTCAGATGACTAAAAATCGTCTTCCATTATTCCGTTTTGCCTGAATTGCTCCCTGATTCTCCAAACTGAGAGCAGAGGTTGACCTCTGTTTATCCATATTTTGCCTTCAATTCCACATTATATTAGACGCTCTTGTCTTTACTCAATACAATTGGATCCTATGTATTTGCTCATGGGAAGACAGGTAGTCAGTGAGCGAACCAGAAAAAGACGATTCTTGTTGTTCCCGACACGTGAGTAATCAAGACTAGGCTCTGTTACTGCCTCTTCCCTCATCAATTTGTTAGATTGTTCCAGTGTAATAGTCCCGTGGTGCCCTGTACTCCCTTCTTTTATTCACATTTTAATACAGATACTTATTATAAAAACCCAAAACTGTGTATTGTACATCACAGTTTTGAAAATGAAATAGGAAGTACTTCAGCTTACTTGCATCTTTTCATGTTCAAGAAATGTGCTCAAAATGCGAACTCAATAAAAGAAAACACTACTTACCCTATTTTTAAATCCTCAGCAATTGTACATGTCAGCGTTCTGAAAACATAGTTTATAAATCTTTGCTAGTGATTGCTATGATTAGTCACATGTTTTGAGTTGTGAATCCATCCCAGTTTTCTTAACCTTAAAGGGAATTACCAAATAACTTTAAAAGGATGTAAAGTACAGTATTATGAAATTAGATATATGCAACATTCACAAGGTCAGTGTGACTGACATACCACAATACTTGCTTCTCAGCTCTAAAATGAAATGCATCATGCAATAGCAGAAGGAGAGATGGAGTTCAACCACACCTTCATCGGCATGAATTATAGAGCAATGCAACTGTAAGATGGAAAATCTATTTCTTCAAAACGATTATTTGACACTTGGTTTTCTAGAGGGAAAAAAGGGAAACCAAACCAGGTAAACTGTTCTACCATTTTATTTTGAGGTCAACGACTGCCAGAACTGTAATTACGGTGGTAAATATCTTGAGTAATAGAGAGTTTTCTTAACAGTACATTATTTATATGTTAACGAAAAACGCGTACGTCAAATAAGGGAAGATAAAAGTAAGAAAAAAAAGCGGAACAATTTCTCATGCTTCCTTTTGCAAAAGTAATTAATAGTTGTTTTATTTGGAAGAATTTGCAGTCAACGCTCATTAAAAACTTGGGTTTATCAAAGCTTTGCCGTGACAGACATAGAGCATATTTAATGTGAGGTTCTAATTTTAAATATATGAGACTACAATATAAACTAGCATTATTTGTACCTGAAACTTAAGAGTTAAATCACGGGAAAGTGAAGAGTGAAAGAAAGTAGGTTAATTTAGTGTTTCACTGACAACCACAGCTTTTACCAGTGCATATGCAAATGTGTAGTGTGTGTGAGGTGTGATGAGGTCAGTAAATTGTAAATCGTGCTGTGCGGAAATATCATTTGATAAGTCTGTGATCAGTGGGAAGTCTGCGACATTCCTCGGTGCCACTTTTATGTACTGTAGAAAGTAGATGTGAGAAAGATAATGAGAAGAAATGTTTCCACAGAGCTTAATAAGATAGCGGTATATGTAACTCTGAAACTTAAAGGTTAAATCACTGGAAAGTGAAGAGTGAAAAAAGGTAGCTTAATTTAGTGTTTCACTGACAATCATAGCTTTTACCAGTGCATATGCATATGTGTGCTGTGTGTAACATGTGATGAGGTCAGTGAGTTGTAAATCGTGCTGTGAGGGAATATGTTTTGGTAAGTCTGTGATCAGTGGGAACTCTTCCTTCGTGCCCTTTTATGTACTGTAGAAAATAGCTGTGAGAAAGATAATGAGAAGAAACTTTTCCACAAAGCCAAATCAAATGGACAGATAAAAAAAAAAAACAGATAGATATAAAAATTGTTGGAGTTTTGTAAAATTGTCTTCAGTAGTTTCAATTTCATGAGTATAGCTTTTGAATTTATTTGTTGACATCTCACTCCTGGAAGGAATGACTTAATTAGTTAATTCATCCCTCATTTCTGGAATTTTTTAAAAAGTCGTTGGTTGAAAATGCAGAGCTTTCATGCAATCATTTGAAACTTTACACATTTGGAGTTTGACCTTAGCAATTTTAACGCACTCTGCCTCTATTTTCGATGAGACAGCCCTTATTAGTGATATTTTTCTTCATTTTAGAATCTTACCCCCAGTCCCAAATGAAACTATCAAGCTCCATTTGTAAAATATCCTCTGATAAAATATTTTTTTCAGGCCTTAGTAATAATTCAAATGATGTATTCCTATTATTTCCTTTTATTAGATATTTCAGTATCAAATAATGCATTCGTTTTTGCGAATGCATTTAATTAGGTCATGCTTAATGATATCTTCAGCTCAGATCTGGTTGTTTTTTCAGGTGTGATCTTCCAGATCACACCTCGAAATTCACCCTTCTGTAACTCTGTAGGATGATCAGCAAAGTTTGGGTTGCTAGTTTTGAACAATACGTGGCTGACAAAGCTGACAGGCACTGCTTAACATTTATTTACCCTCAGCAAGGTAACATTTTGGCTGGAATGTCTTTATTTTATCTAATTTTAACAGTTGGGTTCTTTTTGCACAGCATGCTAGTAAGAAAGGAAGCAAGTCACAGAGTGAAGAGAATGAAAAAAGTATGAAGTCGGGATGAACACGGGAAATTATATTTAAAAAGACTAGTATTGAATGCACACTGATGACGTAGATAAAAGTGAGGAATGATGCAGTTGTTACCTGGCTGTAAACTGTCATGCTGCGGACAAATTCTGTTACTTTTGGAAGAGTGCTTTCTGATCTCAACACACATGTTCAGGAAATAGGAACTGTATTTTTCAAATCTTTTCCCAACATGTCCCAACATTTTTGTTAGATATATTTGACTGCAACTTTACAGGCTTTAAGTATTACGTATACGTTTTTTCTCACTGTTCTGAATCACGAGGCCAAAAGAAAGGCAAAGTGGGTATTTTGTTTTTTAATTTCATCTCCAAACTAACCAGATTTTAATATTTTCCAAATAAACGTTATGTTTCGTGTACACTTGAGAAAGCTACGCAGCCAGAATACAGATTATCTATCATGTCACCTCAGAGTCAGCGCTGTATCCGTTTACCACCGCAGACACGTCCTGGCAGTTCATTACGTTTAAAACATATTTAACAAACAGAAAATTAACCAAGCAAAACGCAATCCACGTCGGCAGTTTACATTGTATCTTGGGCTGTGAACTGATGCAATGGGAGTAGACAGAGCTATTTCTGTGCTGATTGCAGCTGTTACACCAATGATATTTTTTGTCAGGTTTGGGGCCATCACTGGAGAACTTTGCTAAAGAGATATCCCATTAGTGTCTTTGTGGTTTTGCATGCACATGGCTTTGTGCATGTCCGTGTACAGGTTATAACATGGATCTATGAACCAGTTTGCTTAGCCTCTGTGTGCCTCTTTCATTATAGTAATTGCAATCTCTTAAAAAAGGGATTAGATCAGAGAATGCACTGCATTAAGTCTAATAGAGGAATGAATTGCTTCCTGTACTCTGTTGGGTCAGCCTTTCAGTGAGGATTAACTTTTTCTCTCAGGTTCATAAAAAGCCCTGAATGTCCTCCTTTTGTCCCCTGGAGGTCTCTTTGTTTTATTCCACATAAGATAATACATGACCAATGTTAGGGAAAAGCATATGCTGCCCATGCCCCTTGGATAATTACTTAACTTTCACTTTTTAAATTCATGTAAAAAAAAAAACAGCTGTTCCTGAGTAATGGAAAAGTATTTGCACAAAACACCAGAAACTTTATTTGTCAGTACCAAAAGTAATAGTAAGTCGTATTGAAGAAGTAGATCAAAACTGTACCAAAGATCAAGTTTAAATGGTCTGCCTGAATAATTTCTTCTAGCTATTTTTCATTGTTCAGAACTACACTTAAATACTAGTTCTTTTAGCTACTGGTAGAAATGGTGTGAAATTTTATGTTATCAAAGACTTTTGAGTTTTTTTAACCTCCCTTTTAACATTGAAAACATTGTTACGTAACACGTTTTGCTGCAGATCGTTTCTGTGTTATCAGGTTACAGTGGGTTCACCTGGTTTTCTTCTTAGGAACCATCAAGCATCTTAACCATTTAAGGAAGGAAGGCTGTTCAGTGTCATTTTTTGCAGCCTCTATGATTGGGACAGGCAGGTAAAAATAACAAGTGAACTGGCATACTCTTTATTCTTTTATGATTCTTCTCGTCTGATTTTAACGTATTTTTCAAACAATGTTATTATCATAGCTATCGTGGCATGCAATATTGTATCTCTAAATGCCAGGTTGTTTTGGCTCACAATCAGTACGCTCCTAAACCACCCTCCTCTGGCATTTAAGAAAAATTAACACAAGTCGGGAAATTCTCTCCTCACTGCAGGAAACAGTTGATTAACTTAATGGTTTCCTGCAGAACCGTCCCTTCACATTAACACATCAAGTTAAAAAAAAACAAAAGAAAGGTTTTCTTTTTTTAAGATATAAACAATTGCACTCAGTCTGCTGCAAGCATACTCCCTGTGTGAGGTAAAGGGTGGGAACTTAATGCCATTTTTGGCACTTACTTTTGGAAGCTGTAAATATTATATAAAAGATAATAATAATATAATATAAAAGATAACATAAAAGATAAAATATTAAAGATCAAATTGTCAAATTAGTTTTGGAAAAGTATTGGGATAGATTGCATTTATTTTGAATTGTTCCTTGGTGATGAATTTGTCTTCCAGATTGATACACTTAAAAAAAAAATTCACTTGGACAGGATAATAGTCTATCACAGGAGCACACAGAGACAAAGGAGACATGGCCATTCACTCTCACACTCAGTCAATTTAGAGTCTCCAATGAACTGACCGTATGTTTGTGGACAGTGGGAGGAAGCCATAGTACCCACTAAAAGGCCCACATACAAAGGGAGAAAAGCAAACTCTACACAAAGGTCCCTGGCTGGGATTCAGTACGGGAACCCTCTTGGTCGGGGATGATGGTTATAACCGTGTAGCTCTCATTTTAAAGATATGTCTTTTTTCGTGTTATGGTATATTTGTGCCCTTAGAAGAAAATCATTGGATGCATTAAATCATCTTAAATTGCCAATCCTCTCTTCAGTTTAGATATGAGGAGTCTCAGAATAGAAAGATATATATATATATTGCTATATGCTATTGCATATTCCTACCAGTATGTACATTTGATATGCTTTGATAGAACACATTTATTAAATTCTTTTGATTAAATTTGATCAATAGAATTCCAGTGACCACCTTTAAGCATCCGCCAATCCTTGAAAAGGTGAAGCAGAAGACAAAACATCTGAACTATGAAAACGCTGTTTCAGAAACCACAGTGAATGTAATATCCTGATTATTCTCTTCTTAATGTGCCTCTTTATTCAGCTCCCCCAATGATCCGGCTGTCAGTCAATGACACGGTTGTGGTAGACCCTGGGCAGGACGTGTCCCTGACCTGTGAGATGACTGCCGGGTTCCCACAGCCCACTGTGACCTGGTCGCGCTATCCCGGCCCTCTGCCCCTCAGCGCACAAGTTCGAGGAGAAAAACTGAATCTGCGGGCAGTAACACCAGCAGATGCGGGTTTCTACAACTGCACAGCTGTCAACAACGTGGGCAACCCCGCTCGCAAGAACGTCAATCTTGTTGTCAGGAGTAAGTAACAGCCTTCTGTGGAAAGGAACAAGGGTTTTGATTCATCTGACCAGAGAACAGTTTTCCTTTGTCATCTTTTTTCACTCTGAGAAAATGGTGGTATTTTTGGGTCATGTTTCTATTTGATCTCATCTTTGGATAATATACTGTAGATTCACCCTGTATTTGGGGGTGTTGGGTTTCACAAAAAAAGATCACTGGTGTTCCTGAACTCATGCAGCAGAATGACAGAATTTTAACTGAAGGGTAAACCTGAGGACTTTAAGAACACAGATATCCAGATTTAGATTTTTCTTTTCCTCTAATTTGCACAGAAATGCATCCATTTCTTAAAAATAAATCTTTTGCTGATATTAGTTATTCTTGATGATGGAAAAAAATTGTATATTGTATTTTGTGCAATTTTGAACCTCTACATCATTACTTATGAGAAATTCTGCAAGTCTCAGGTGCTCGTTTTTCTCTTCCCCTCATCATAGCACATGCATGCATGCATGCATATAGGTGTCTCGGTATTTGTTTTAACAGGTGAGCCCATGTGCGGCTGTTTGAGTGAGATGCAGACGTAATCTTGTGGTAATAGACAGTTTTAGTATTGCTCTTTATAATTTCCCTGTCATTAAAGCAGAAACCATCAATTCGCCTACCCCCCTGGTTATATTTAGCCATTTTAATCATATTTATTCACTCCAATTAGTTAGACTGGAGTGGAAGCAATTAGTGACAGTCTTCTCTGTTAGTTAATGCTGTGGTGAATGTATGCTGAATGGGTTTCACTTGTTAGTTTAATGGGCCTGAACGGATTTTCACACCAGCACAGGTGGTAAGACGCTGAGAGACAGTGAGAGACACAGTCAAAGCCACTACCTGGATTGCAATAGAAATCTGCTAGAAACACACACAGATATAAATGCACATGCACCTATACATGATAAAGGACACTGAATTTACCTTTACAGGACACTCATCCTAACTGTATCCTAATATGCATTCTTAGCACGTGTCCACCTTTTTAAAAATTCAGTCATTTCACATCATCTGCACTTTCCTTTTGACAGCATTCTAAAGATTCTATGATCTGACCGCATAGAGAGATTTATGTCCCCGCATACTGAGTGTTCCCTTGGACACACACTAATGTAAACACTTTACCTAAGGTTGCAGGGTTGCGTAAACCATATGGTCACTGTCGTATATCTATCGCTCCACCTCAGGATCTTGTTAACAAACTAGAAAGGAGTTTAAATCAAGCTTTTCTCTCCTCCTCACTGCCTGTCTCTCCTTTTGGGAGGGAAACAGAGAGCTGTTTTGTATTCAACATGGAAATCAGCTGGGAAAACGCACCCTTTGAAACTGAAAATTAAATGTGACAGTGTGAGAGTTACTCTTTGTCCTTGATTTTGTTTCACCCCTCCTCCTCCTCCCCCTGTTATTTTATTCTGTATCTGGCTCCTTTTGTCTCGTCCTCCTTCTCAATTTGCCTCTTCCTTTTTCTCGCATTTTTTTATTCTCCAATTTCCTTTTTCCTTTGGTTTCTTTTTGTCATGCTGCCCCCTCCTTATTCCTCACACAATGTCACACGCTCATCTAATATACAGTATTAGCCATCTTTCTCCTTAGCTACTTTGCATTTTATAGCTTTTTACTCCTTTATTCTTTTCCACCTATAGTCTTTATTTTTAACTGAATTTGACATACACCAAAATTTCATCTTTTTCAATTTACATACAAGTCTAGTCAGTTTGAATGAGCAAATGTCAGTCCCTGTGACACACACATTAGCACAAAACATTACACAAAAAGTTCTATCAGTCTTGGTCATTAAAATCCAAGGGAATTATAGAGAATTCAAATTTGATCAGACCCTACCAGTAATAGATTGATACAAGTAAAGTGTATATTTGATGTAACTTCTGTGATACCGAGCCTTGGTTATATCCTAACAACACGTGGCCACACATTACTGTATTCTTCCTTTGCAATAAAGGAGGATCCATGAGGATCCATGATTTAACTGCTCCATCAGACAAAGTTAAATGTTTGCTTGTCAAAATATGTCAGAAACATTAATACAACCAAGGAAATTAGTTGTGTGTGTAAAAACCAAAGTCTTTTGTTAAATATAATTTTAAAAAGTGGACAAAAAATGAAAATAAAAATTTTTTGACTGGTATTTCCAACAATATAATTTATTTAACCTTTTCTACTTGTTTCCCTGTCACACAGCGATGAGCAACCTGACCTTCCAAATAACACCTGACTCCAACAAGGACAGTGAGACCATCCAAATGGGCCGCGACCTCAAATTGTCATGTCATGTTGATGCCACCCCGCAAGACAAAATAAATTACACCTGGTACAAAAATGGTGCACCAGTTTTCAACTCGGAGAGCCTGATTTTACTGCGCAGTGATCCAGACATGGCACCCGGCACCAGTAGCCTGGAGATCGTGGACATGAAGTTCAGAGACCTGGCCACCTACAGCTGTGTGGCCAACTTCCCGGGTAGCAGAGTGCCAGAGCTGCGTGTGGATGTCAACATCTCTCAGAACAGTGGTGAGATTTCCCTTCATTTTTCAAAAGTCCCATCAGATTGACTCATGGGCTTCAAATCCTTTGATAGGCCAGAAAAAAAGAGTGTAGAACTTTAAAAAATTGTAACAAATCATCTATTCATAATGTTTTGCTAGCAGTCATGTCCTAAATTCATCATTAGAATACTGTCTTTGTCCTGTGTTTATGTCTCCCATTGTGGAGCATAAAGAACATTAAACACGTTTACTGTGTAACAGTCTGTGCAAAAGACAGAGGGCGAAAACCTTACAGCAGTATGTACACTGATGAAAAACTTACCCTAAAGTAGGGTGTATTTGACCTGATATGATATACGACACACAAAATACTACTCATATTAAAACACATCAATTTATTAATTTAAAACTTAAAAAAACACCTTGCACATCTAGACATTCTAAAAGCAGATTAAGGGCCTCCATGGTGTGAGTGGGAGGCCGCTGTTAGAGGCTCTGTGTTTCTGTTCAGGCGGCCTGGGTTTGATTCCTGCCCATGGTCTCTTTCTTGGAGAATATCCCCTTTGTGCTCAGTGATGAATTGTAATTGTGAAGAGATCACCTTTGGCCCAGAATCTTAATGATTTAAAGTAGTCTCAGTCTTGACTGTATTTTCTTTAGTTATTCTCCATTTTGTTACACTGATGGGATTTACCAATGAATGTAGAACTTGTGTATTCTCGCGTGTACTCTACATGACATTGACAACGGTCAGGGTTTTTTAAATAACTTTTCATCCAAACATTGAGTTATTTATATCATGAATTTGAGTCATTGTCATTGTATACATTTATGTCCATAGATCTAAGATTTGCAGACACTTTCCCTTAAGGTCTTTCATGAAGTGTACATACTAACTACATTTTCAATGGTGTAATTTTTTATATGTAAGGCGTTTTTGATGATTTTTGTTGCTGTTTTTCTCACTTAAAGAGTAATAATCCTATTTTTAAACCTTTGGTCGATCTACTCTTGTGATACAAATGTGTCAGACGATTGTTAATTTTTTTATGTTTTTTGGTAATGTCTTAAATTAAGCATTCCATGCTTTATTTTTTCCTGTGATTCTCTCCAGTCTCTCCTCCAGTGCTGTCAGTTCCACCAGGCAGTCAGGTCGTGAGCGTGCGTGAGGGCGGCAACACTGAGCTGGTGTGCTTGGTTGTTGATGGTAAACCTCGTCCTCCGATCCTGTGGTCACGGACAGAGAAGGACCTGCTGATGCCTTCAGGGCAACCTACGATGGAAACACCTGATGGCCGCTTGAGGCTAAAGAACGTCACCCGTGACATGATGGGGGCGTATCGGTGTCAGACAGCTCCGTACAATGGTCTTAACATCAAGCGCAGAGAAGCGCAAGTCCAGCTGAATGTACAATGTAAGTGTGTGTCAGATTATTTTCACCTGGGAGCTCAGCCCAAACTCCTTTTTTGGGGGGGGGGTTTAAAGATGGAAGCAATTCTTAAGACACTTTAGGAAGGTAGCATATTGAGAATCACTTTGCTGTTTAAAAGCAATGAGTAGTATTTTTTCATAGATATCAATTTTATATCAATATAAAAACATAAAATCTCCTGTACAGATGGCATGTGCATCACCTGAATGCATGTGTCAGTACACAATAAACAATAGGAATCATTTTAGCAGTACAAAGGAACATCACAGCTAAAAATTAAATAAGAATAAAAGTCTGTTGTAAATATTCACTTTAACCAGCTGAAGTGGATTTTAACATTATTGTATTGTATATTAGCGTAGTTGGACATAAAATGTGGCAGAGACAGAAACATACTTTAAAGAATTAGAATCAGGCCATAATTGAGCCTGGTGAGGCTGTAATGGGGCAAAGATCCTCTGCCCATGTGCTGCCCACCTAACCCATGCCAATTCAGCTTCTAAATCCAAATTTTCTCCAACTACTCAATGAGCGCCTCCATTGAAAGTGAGTCAAAAGAAGTAACTGTCTATGATGTTAGGCATTTTTTCTTGGTTTTAATAGAGTAGCAATAAATGGACTTTAGTTAATGTGTTTTGGTCTAAGAGTCCACAGGCAGGCAGGAAAGTGGAAAAGTTAAGGACTGTGCAGAGGCGTGCGGGATGCCAGACAGCTTGAGAAAAAGTGCTGGTGGAAATATGTGACATACAGGTGGCTACTGTAAAGAGCAGGTTTGCTATTTTTAAGTGGGCACTCAGTAAATGCAAGAGAGAAATGTCACACGATGAACTAAGCAAACTATGAGATGGCTTGAGAGCACTAAGCAACCAGTGATTGCAAAATAACATCCCACCAAAAGTTAGCCTGCAGAAAGATGCAGAACAAACCTTATGCCATATAGACAGGAGAGAAGAAATGCAGAAAAGCTACAATTTTTCCCTCCAAGTCCCCATTAGCCAGCAGAACTGCAACTGAAGAAATGAACAGGATATAAAAATAACTTAGAAGAAGAAATAAAGTTTAATTTTACTTCCTAATTAACTACTTAAAATCTGGCTATACAATTTCAACGCTTCATGTATGTATACCAATTGACATTTGTGAGATTTTCTCATTATCAATTAATTATTTCTTGCGCTGCACTCCGTTAAGTGTGGGCCACGATATTCAGTGAGGTGCGATTGAAAATAAGTAAACATAATTACATGTTGACTTTAATGAACAAGAGGTCAAATACAAAAATTGAAGAGCATCCTTTAAGAGGTTCTCTCAGTATTACAATAATTATGGACAAACAACCCTAAAATGATTAGATCAGAAGAAGAAAATTCTAAACCCTGGCAAAAATACAAGTGCCTGCATCATAGCTACATTTGTATACTGGGCATTGAGATAGTTCTTTAGTCTACGCATTTAATGCAATTCTTACACAGTAACAGATCTTTTTACAGTAATTCAGATGCATTCATTAATTTGCTGTCTTTGCCTCATTTTCCTGCTCTGACCCACCTAATAGGAAAAGTCTCAGATTTGTCCTCTCTCCTCCTTTCCAAGAAGTGTTTACAGGGCTCACTAATGCTGGTGGGGTGGAAGGGATACACCATATGCACTGCTGTCCACAGCTCTGATAAATGGACCAGGTGGCCACCCCACTAGAAGAAACAGAGCAATGAAACGTATACACGGGCAAGACTAAAACCGAGAGAAATGAGTTGAACAGAGTGCTTGTGACTGGGAAGCCGGGTTAGAAAAGAGGAAAGAGGAAAGATAAAACAACCTAACAAGGCTCGCTTTCTCTACAGCAACAGTCATCTGATATTTTGTGACTCCTCTCTTTCTTCATCTGATGATCTCTTTTCCAGATTTTGCGGGCTCAGTATGTTATCTTATCAGGTGTTTTATTTTTCTGGAACTCATCACTGTTGGTTGATTTGAAAGACGATGTCATCATTGTTTATGGCAGATACAACTTAATGGATATGAAAATGTAGCATTTCATCCCTCCTTTCCCATCTTAGTCTTTGTTTTTCTCCCCAAGAAGTAGATGTTCTTCCTCATTGCCATTCTCATCATCATCAATCAGCTGACTGTTGGCCATAAGAGAAGACCTCTCCCTGTCTTGCCATTTTCTTTCTGCATCCTTTCATGCGCTCCCTGCCTCACATACTCAATCACTGACTTCCCTCACTTTCACACAACAGTTTCTCTATCATCTGTCTTCCCCATTGTCGTCTTCTTTAAGAGCTTTTCTCTCACCTCCTGCCCCACCCAACTCTCCACCCCACCACCTCCCTCTCTCCGTCTCATGTAAATTGATTTTCTCCCCGTGCACTGTAAATGTTTGGCTTGGTCAGTGTCGCATTCCTGGATGGAATCTATTTTGTATTCAATAAGACAGATAGCAGTGGTGTGTTTACATGGATTTTGGTGTTCTGACTGTGAAACTGTGTAGTGTAGCGCCATGAGCCCCAAATGAGGGGGAATAAAAGAAAAGGGCTAGCTCTAGAATTTGAGTAGTCACAGTTGAAATTAAGTAAGTGGCCAGTTTGAGAAAGTATAACCTAGAAACAAGACACACATGCCATTGTTGGTGTGTTTAAAGCCACATATGGGTTGAGTGGTATGGTTTATAAACTCGTCATAAACGTTTGCTGCCTACCATTTTTCCTCCCTCTCTCTATATCTCAAAGGCATTGTTGCATGTTTTGCCAATATATATATATACAGTATATGTTGTATATCTTTTATTTTAGACTTATTTATCATAATAATATAATATAACATGATTTAATAGTACATTTACTTTTACATGATATATACTTTTATAGTATACTTTTTTCAATGGCAGTGGTATAAATATGTATGAATATGATTAAAAACAGTGTCTGTGACTAAACATTCATTAGTCCACGGGATTATACAAGGACCTTTGACCACACATAAATCACCCCCTCCGTCACAAACCTCTGGTTATAGGAATCATGTGTGTAACGGATCCAAAAGGTCAAGGAGTCTTGGTAATGAGCAGATCATGACACTTTCGGTTATGGTAGGCATGACAGGGGGAAAGCCATTTAGATTTTTCATCAACATGATGTGACTTGACTTAAAACCAACCGGCAACACAGAACCAAGAAGTTAAAGTCTGGGGTGGTTTCCAGTCTTCTTAGCATTCAGGTGCTCACTCATGTTCCTGAGACTCGAGTGCAAGCACAGAATAATAAACTGATTTCAAACAGGAGTCGGTCAGGCCGTGTTCACCTGTCTATTCAGTGGAAAAAAATCTACGGATTAGACGTACTGGTCACAGTGAGTACAAAAATACTTTATGGGGTGTTTCAGCGTTATTTTTACAAATGCTTTCCGTATGTTAACCTATATTTACTATAGGGATTTTTTTTGCCTATTCCAGGTCTTTAATTTTTCTATCATTCAAAATGATATTCATCAGTGTAACTTTTCAAAAATGAAAACAGCACACACACTAAACTCCTTGATCTTTAGGTTTTTCAGAATGGACACTCAACCACATGGAGGAAACATAGAGGAAAAGCAAAATGTGTTTAAAGAAAAGATTGATAGATACAATTCTTTCAATGTTAATAAAAGCAGCATATTTCTCCACCTGGTTGCCATGGTGAAAATCCTCCTACCCCAACAGGACCTCTTCTAATAAAGATGTCAGAAAATCAGTCTTTCAAGTGAAAATAGAATTTTAATCCAATGTTTTCCAGGAAACATTTGACTGTATAAACTTTAAGATTTAATTGACCTAACAAAATTATTTCTGGCACCTGATTAAAAAACAGTCAACAATACACTGAGATGGAATATGATTAAGGTTTTACTAAATACCAGAATCATTCAATTAAGTCTTTTATATTTCGCTCCACCACCAAACCACTCAAGTAAACAAAAACCCTTTTGTGGATATTCATACCCATTCATGAATTATGTTAATTATATGTCTTGTGTATTTTTGGTGTCAGGGTGTATTTTCAACTCATTGTCCTACCCCCAGTTTATACAATTATTGCAAAAATAAATTTAATTCTGGGAAGTTAGGTTGACCTGTCATTTCTTTAGCATGTCATGATATACATTTGAATAAAGACCTTGATCAATATTACAAAGAACCAAGTAGATAACAGATTGCAATCATGGGCGGATAGCTCTGCTGTTTGTGAAAAAAAAAAAGACAGAAGTGACTGTAATAGTAGATGTGAAAATAAGATTTTATGACCTTCCATTTTGGCCACAGAGACTGTTAACAGCATTTTGTCTTTGTTTTCTCCTCATCTCATACTGAAGATTATCTTTCTATCATGCTTACTGCAGTTCATCCTGTAGCTCTATCTGTTTAAATTAAAGATGTAACATAGATTATAGCATAATTACCCATCTGTGCCTTATAAACTAGATTCATATGTGCCTCAAGTGGTGCCGTCTTACCTCTGGGGGCTTTAACACCAAATCTCATCACCAATATTTAGGGAAGTACCATCATTAGCATCTTGTCTATCTACATGATTAGCCAGGGGGGGGAGAAGACTAGCTGGCCTGTGATTTGTAGCAAAGTAATTTGGCTGCGCTGTGTCTAGGCTGACCTAAGGGCAACAGTAGCTAGTAAGTCATTAACCGCAGGGCCAGGCATCATATTTGACAGGTTAATTACTGCTGGTTAGGAGAGGTTAGCAGCAGAGATCAGCTTGATCCCTTTGTGGACATGAATAGTTCTGTACTACATGATTGGTCAAATTATATGTGTTCCTGTGCTGTGATAACATTTGAACTACTGAACACAACACATAACAGACAACACATAACACAGTGGAATGAAAAAGAAACAACATTTATTTATTTGGAAACTAGAATTGCATTCCATTTTGCGCTGGTCATGACCACTTTAATAGTGTCCAACAATCTAAATGAATAAAGTATTCGTCAGGATCCAAAGTCTACGGTTATTTGTGTCCACAGATCCTCCCATTGTGGACCCAGTCTTTCAGGATGTGCGTTCAAGGAACTATCAGATCGTGACCCTGAGATGTACGGTCCTGCGGTCAAACCCTCCTCCATTAACAGACATCCGCTGGCTACGTAATGGTGAATCTATTCGAATGACCGCGCAAGACCTGAAGAAGACTCCAGAGCTGAAGTTCAAACTGGAACCCACCAACAATGGCTCGTATGAGTGCCGAGTCAGCAATAGCGTAGGAACCTCAACTTGCACATTCAATGTCTCTAGTAAGTGAAAAGAAATTAACCTTTTATAAATGACCACTTATGAAAAAAGGCATGGTGTCCAGTTTGGATTTGATGTTTTCTGATATTTTTTTCTCTTTTTTTTTTTTGCAGCAAAACCTTACAATGCTGAGTTTTACTTTGATACACCTAACCCTGTGCGTATTCTGAAGGGAAACAACTACTCCTACAATCTGCAGTGGACACAGAAAGATCCAGAGGCTACAGACCGCATCATAGGCTACTGGCTGAATGTCCGAAAGGTGCATTAATAGTTAAACTCAAATCTGAGAACTAGACTTCTTAGCATGTTTCAGCACACACACACAGCTGTGTGCACTATGGCTGGTTTCTAAGATACCTGCATGGTTATATAAACTTCTGCATTCTCACTTATTTATCAAACATTTATAACAAGGTTAAATTTAGGGGCCAATGCTGATAGACTGTGAGGTCAAAATTAGATATTTAGGACAGAGACAATGATCTTGTTCCAATTCATCAATAGTTTAGAGTATTGGTTTTAATTGGTGGCTGAAGCAGATGGCTTGTTGAACTTTGAGGCAGAGAACAGAGCAGTCAGGAAACCAACTGGGATAATCCAGGCTGAGTTAATCCAGGGAAGAGAACAGGTGAGTGGACACAGAAGGAGATGGCAGGACGCTGGCTGGGAATCGCTGCAGGCTGGTATAAACAGAAGTTACTTACAGGAAACCATAGATTAGAGAAAGAGGGTGTTTTTCAGCCTATTTAACACACATTGCAGCAAAAGAGAGCTTGCCGGCTAAAGAGTGGCAGTGAAGGGCACGACACAAAATAAACTCCAGTCACTTGCCTTTGTTTGTGAGAAGCCCTTGCGTGGATGGGTTCACAGCATGGGGAGGGAAGCACACAAATGCACAAGTCTATATGTAGTAAGTATTGCCTGCTAAATAAACACAGGGCTTTAAGGGCTTTTACTGTTAAGAATATCTAACCAATCAATACACACCTGTACTGAATGAACAAAATTGGTTACTTTTTTTATTCCCTCCTTTTCAATTTGTAGGCCTTCATTTCTATGATACAAGTTTGATTTTTTTTTTCTTTTTTTTTGGCTGTTTTTTAACAGATTGCCTTACTTTGTTTTGATGATGTTAAACACGTTCACAATAGAAAGGCTCCTTTGGAACTGACCAAGCAAGGCATCAAAGACCAAACTGATCTCAATAGCTTAAGTAAGGAAATCAAGGACTTTAACTACAAATATATTTTCATCAATAATATCGCCCCTGTCCTTGATGCATCCTCAAGACACCCATCACTTTAAGTTCAGTGTCACGCTTTGAGCATTTAGTTGTATTGAATGGAGTCTTCAGTTATGACTATCCAGAGTCCTAAAGGGCTGCTGTTGTTTTCATAGAAGGTTTCAGTGCCAAAAATACCCTCATATATGGTGTATGTGCTGCCTGGAACCAAGAACCCAACAGGCAATAGTCACTAACTTTTTGAAAGATGCCTGCAGATTCCCATCGTTGTCAGTTCAGACATAATATTCATTCTTATTTTCGTGTTTCAGCCTGTCCTGAAATGATTGACTTTTCATGGATGAGACTTTATTCTCACATCCACACAAGGGGTGTTAAATTAGTCTCGCACTTATTGTTCGGAATTTAGAATGGGTGCATTCTCTGAAAATATAAACTACACCCACTCTAACATTTAGTCAGAAACCAACTAGTTGTCACAGAGATACAATTTATAGATTAATTAAACTCCCTGACAAATCCCCAGGCTTTGGAGCCCGGTAATGATCCAATGATCTGAGATACAGGACCTCAATGCAATAGGTGAACATCTTCAGACCACCTTCTTCTTTTGTTCCTTATGCATTATAGATCACTAGGCTTGAGTCACAAGGCAGGAGGATAATAGTGAATTATACACAACATCCTGGGGTGTGTATTAAAGCGTGTGAGAGAGGCACTGAAACAGAGTGAATGCAGGCTCTGGCAGCTTGTTTCTCTGCGGATGAATAGCTGATTCCCCACCCACCTTAGTGGATGGCTGCTTACCTTATTAAGTAAGACTCTGGAGGGGGGCAGAAAATGAGCGCAGGTCCTAGATTGCAGGCTTAAGCGACTCAGAAAGCGTTCTCTCAACTTTTTGTTTTCTCTACAGCTTTTCAGCTCTTTCTGTTAGCATGTATCTTAATTTCCTTCTCAGCTTCCTTCTTTCACCCTCTCATATCTTGTTCCCTTTTCCATTTTCTCTATCTAATGCTTCATTAGATGCGAACTTCACTGAATGTACTGTAAGATGTGCATATATGCTAAAATCACATTGATAAATGGTTGCAGCAGGTTGTTAAACTATTTTTGTTAAAGTGACGAGTTGCAGTAAGTAACAGTTTCTCAAACATTGTTAGACGTTAATATAATTTCAGGGTATTTACCTGCATGCATTTATCTATGAGCATTTGAGAGTGACTACTAAGAGGCAGAGGAAAAAAAGGAAGAAGGGAGTCGGACCTGGATGTGAGGGTGCAAAAGAGGGAAATGTGATGCAAATTAAAGAAAAACAGTTAATCCCCCTGGTCCCCTTGACTATTAGATAGAGTACAAGAACGTTCAAATGGAATACTGTCTCAATTTCACAACCCATCTATTTCTGCAACTATTTCAACAGCTCATCCTTTTAACACCCTGACACTATCTTTTTACCACATGCAAAAATGATGTAGGGGTCTCAGGGGAGAAAAGCATACAAGATAATTCAGGGTGTTCATGGGGAGTAATGCTCCGTGGTGTAGGCCTAGTTGCATGGCGGCAAATATATCTCAGCTTGTTTGTTTTTTTGTTGTTTTTTTTGTTATTGGTGTTCTGATTTGATTTCTTTTTTGGTTCTTTTGCCAGATCTGAATTATTTATCAATATACTTGCATTAACAGAGTTTCTGTGTTCCTGTGTGTATGCCGCTCTGCATGGATTACACCATGAATTTCCGGCAGGCTATGAAATTCCTGTTTACACTCCTTAATTAAGTTTCAAACTCTCTACGGGGGTTTCACTGTGTTGGAATTAACAGCGTTGACAGGCTTTCCTTTTTTTCGCCCATCCTTTATTGCCAATTTTTTCATGCCGTAGCGTCTATCTCTTAAAGTTTCCTAATTGACTGCTTTCATTTGCAGGATAAAATTAATGTGATAATTTAACTTTTTTTTCTACAACAATGGAGGCAGATTTGTTCAATCATGTGTTACTAATTGCATGGTTTTATTGTAACATGGCTCACTGACATAAAGCTAACATTTTCTGCCATTAGCTTCCCACCTAATTAATTAATTCAGTTGTTATCGCTCATGCATATGTATTTGAGAGGGTGTCATCTGAAAGACACATGAATTTAAGCATAATATTTGTGACAGCTCAAAAAAAATAACAGAACTTTTTCAAGATGCATTCGATAGGTGTAATGTCCAATGAAGAAAATGTAATATTTTTTGCAAGTAATACCCAGACATAATGCTGGCATCTTCTGAAGGCCTGGAAAACACCAAAACACCTCCCATGTGCTACCTCCACTTCCTCATAATGTATTGTTCTTTTTACCTTACTACAGTTTCATGTCTTTAAATTTTGTAATGCTCTGCTTTCTGAAAGTGATGCATTCTCGCCCTGGTTAAAGACAATTGAGGTCTGGGCTGGACCCAATTAATGTATTTGAATGTTTCCGTCGTACAAATCTTTGGTTCCAACAACTATAAACCTTTGTGCCCAACAGTTTAAAACAATCATGAGATTTTGAAGAGATAGCATAATTTTCTGATTTCTCAATGAAGTGACACATCCCAGCAACACCTTTTTCTAATAACTCATATTAGGAGATCAGAGAGACCCACAGCAGCCCACTCCAAAAAAAATTTCCCTCAGGGTCTACCACATTTGAGAGCTGTAGTACTTAATAATCCCTGTTTCACATTATTATGGTATGAAACAGGGTCCAGTAAATAGTTTGAGAGTCAATTTGGGAAACCCAAGACTGATAGATAAATACATGACTGGCAATTTAATTCTCAACTATTCAATGCAGTCTGACCATGGGCAGATGGAAAGTTACCGACCGTTATTTTATGCACAGTCTCGGTTATGTGTTAAACATCTCCAAGTTGTAAGAGCATGCACCTCAGAAGGTAATGGCTGTTGACTGGTTGATAACTCTACTGAATCTTAACTGTTACACCTATACACATGTGTATACACACACCAACTGCACTTGATGATACATCACTCACAGTAATGGGGACATGGGCATCCATTTTAGCTTAAAAAAGCACTTTATTTGCGATTAAGCTTCTAGGGTCACTAATTAGAGTTAAAGTAATAAACAGCCTTTTTGAGCTATGATTCTTATTTAGCCTGACAACACTGCTGAGAAACAAGCTGACAATATTCTCGTTCTCTTCATTTAACAAAGAATCATATACAGCTTTGCATTGGTAAAGGAAATTCTTCAAAGCATTTATTCCAATCTTTTCACAGTGAAATTCCATCACATGAATTAACTTATCTTAACGGCGTCATGTGTACATTTTTACTTTATGTTAAATGTACTGGATATGATCTTGAAGTCCATTGGAGAATGAAAAAAAAAACACTTGCAATGACAAAAGACGGGATTACCACAAGTAATCCATAGTCTTTGAGAATTCAAACAGAGTTGAATATGAGCAGGCTTTTTATCATCACTAAAGCCCTTCAAACCACATCTACCCATCTAAATCACTCTATATGAAATAATTAGTTTAATCTAATTATGGCAAGAAAAACATATTATTGGCTAAACATACCAAATAATACATGAGAAAGTGACTAAATCTTTCAATACATGTGTAAGAGCACTTGAGCATTTGGGAAGCATTAGGATTCCCTGAAACTGTCAATGTCCTCCATCAATACCAATTCCTTGTCAGTTCGATATCTGGTCTGGACACCAGATGGTCTCTTTGTGCAGGTGTTGTGCAGGAGACTGCAGATATATTGCCAATCATTACTAAGGTTTGATGGGGTTCTAAAGTACTCACATAAATTGCCTACAGTGTATATGCCATGAAGGATACATCAAAAAGTAATTATGTCCAAGCATAAATCAACAGTGATTAAAACACATGTTTATTTTTTTATTTAGTTAAGTATCCTTAAATAGTGATACCCAATCACTTATGTTGAATATGATATCAGTATGTACATTTCCAGATATTACCTGGGGGTTGGAGCACTTC